TTCCATCTCGTAGTTATCAAGAAGCTGACATCCATATCCACTCTGATCGTCGCCCCCACGAGGAACACCCTAGAACACGCTATCCCGAAGTAGAGCTTTCAAGAGAACGGTAAGAGACATCTCTAATGACAAGCCTTACGAAAACCTTGCTAATCAAGCTTATCAGATACTACGGTAACCAAGATAGAAAAGCCTGGGAAACACAGCTCGATATCACTGAACGTGAGTATCGTCAACGCACAGATCCGAATTTCCAAGTGGAATACGCTCCGCGGCCCACCCAATTCCGTGAGGTCGACCCCTATTCCAACAATCGCCAGTTCGAGCAGATCGATACCACCGGAGCCCCCAGTCACGTTAGCGAAGTCGATTACGCATCCCGAGGCAGCGAACGAGTTTACAGCGAAACCAACGTAGACCGACGCACAGTCATCGAAGAATCACCTCGCAAAATGGGTTATTACGACGACGAAGGTCATTACCACTCTTTCCGCCGTGGCGTTGAGCGTGCTGCCGACCGTATCCTCCACCCTCACCACCACCATGACAGGAAGGAGGAGGTCGTCATCACTGATGACCGCGGCCCTACCCGGGTCCGTGATGGCGTCCGAGAGTCTGTCAGAGTCGTTCAGCCCCGTGGTGGACACCCCCCTGAGACAATCACTATCCCATGCCATTTCATCCGTGTTGGTGATCTCTTGATCCTGCAGGGTCGGCCATGCCAGGTCATCCGCATCTCCGTCTCTCCCCAGACTGGCCAACACCGCTACCTCGGTGTAGACCTTTTCACCCGCCAACTGCACGAGGAGTCTAGCTTCATCTCGCATCCTTCTTCCAGCGTTGTTGTCCAGAGCATGCTCGGTCCCGTCTACAAGACCTACCGCATTCTGGATATTCGTGAGGATGGCCGAATCGTCGCCATGACTGAGACCGGTGATGTCAAGCAAGGCCTCCCCGTTGTTGACCAGGGTAACCTGTTTAACCGTATCAGTGATGCCTTCAGTGACGGTCGCGGAAGCATTCGTGCTCTCGTCATCAATGATGGTGGCCGCGAGTTGGTAGTTGATTATAAGGTCATCCACGGTTCCCGCTTGTAAATTAACAGATGGGCCAGTCATTATTATCATTTCCCTGAGTGGTTCGCTACGCCAATTGTGCACCTGTTCCTAACCTGGAACTAGGCTAGATTTCTTTTTTTCTTTCTTCTATGGGCCACGATATCTTTGAAGCCAATTTTCTGGATTGCTTTCCATCGATGACCCGAAGAAAATAACACGAAAAGATGAAGGAAATGAAGAAAAAGAGATATGAAGTTAAGGGCTATTATTAATGTTGTTTTTCTCTATTGATGGGTTTCGAATGGATGGATGGAATGGATGGATGATCTTTTTCGTTTCCCTCATTTCACCTGCTGCATCTCCGTACTTTCTTTGCTCTCCTTTGCCCCACGTGTATCTATCTAACCCCTGCGTATGTTGTTTGAAAATCAAGTTGCATTCAGCTGTCGAGCTATTTCTTTTCTTTTCCCCCTGTTTTGATCTTTAGTCTTATGTTTCGTGATCATAGTTGCAACTCGTGGTAGTTAGGTAAGGTTCCTTCCTTGCTGGGGGGAGACTACCCATCGGTGGATCATATCCGATTGATGAATATCCAGCCGGCTAAAACCTCAAATGCTGGATGGAGGCATAGACTTCGCTTTGCTTTCACAAATGCTATATATTTTGTTACCGGCCAGTCCACATCGTGATTAGGTACGCATTGTATTATCGTTCCCCGTTCTTTGTCGCAGTCGCGCTAACAAAACTGTCTTTGTCTCGCGCTCGGGCCACAAATGATGGCATCTCACTCCATGGACGTGGTGGTGTACTTATTCAACAAACGAAGGAATAACTTCGCACGGTGATGCTTGACTGATAGGTTGTCTGCCCCTATAGTTTGGGAGTCAGGTTAATAATATTTTCCATCTTCTCATGCCGAATCCCGTGAGTTTCCCGGAAGTTGCCCTTGCGAAGCCCGACAACAATGGCTCCTGTTGCCGGGTTTTATCCAGAATTCAACCTCGCTGAAGGCAGGAAGTGTTGGATTTTTTCTTTTATTATTTTTTTTTTTTTTTTTTTTTTGCTTCGCATTCTTCAGGCATAGTAAGTAATAGACCATATCAGTAATGAAGGCGATGAATGTATCTTCCATGGGTCGAGAGGCAACCTCCCTGTCACTATCGAAAATTGGTTTGAGCAATGACCCCAAGAATGTAGAATAAGTAGCATATTGTAGTTTTTATTAATGTTCAAACTACTCTAGCTGCTTAAAAATCTAACAATGTTAAGGTTAACTATTTCCATGTCAGCAATATAGTATGAAAAGCCAGGGAAAGAAAAAATCATGATAAAAGAACAAGAACAAAGACCTCAGATGAGAAACAGGACTAGGCCCTCAATTACATCGAATAAGTAAGAAAATGGGGGCGTGGCGAAAGAGGTGGGAGGGGAGGAGGGTGAGGGGGAGAAAAAGAACGGTATCATCATAATCCAAGGAAACATGAGGGGAGGGATAACATTGAAGTAACAATAACAATAACAAAGAAAATGAAAAAAGGCCGGCAGTGCCAGCTGAAATGAAACATATACTTAAAAAGGGAGGTGTGTTTGAAAAGTGGATCGGAGAGAAAAGGTGGTGAAAAAGACCAGTAACTACTTGTACCCCTTGCGCAGGAGGTCTGTACGCTGATACCATAAGCCGGTGTTCCACCGGTCGAGGACAATTTATCAAGTGTAGACCGCAGAAGAGTGGCAGTAGTTGTTGTCATGTGAAAAAGACGACGGACATAGGAAAAAGGGGCAGCAGCGAGTTAGCTAGTTGTATGTTATTTATAGGCAAACATGAAAATAAGTAAGGAGTAAACATTATCTATCGTACAGGAAGAGGAAGACATTAGTGTTGTATTGTATCAACTAGGGAGTGCGAAATTGCGAGGAGATTCGGTTAGGGTTTTGGGTATAAAATAACACATTGGCGAGAAGGTGGAAGTCCGAGCTTCGGGAATTAAAACAATCGCAAGAGCATCTAGATGGTGATGGCGGATTGTTCTTGTGGACTAATTTTGCAGCATGGGATATGGTTATGAACGAACGAATGGATGGAGAAGGGTCGTATTATTGATTTCCATTCGTCTTTGTCACCTCACTTCTCTCCATATTTCCCAAACTTCTGTTGCCATTTGACTAGATTCCGCGTCAGGGCATCCATCATTTCGAGGCTCGTTAGGTCCTTGAACTCCTTTTCCTTGGGCTGAGTAATCCCGTTTGCCTCTATCTTTTCTACCACATAATTCGTAGCTTCATCGCCATGATAGTCACCGTTAGTTATATGAGTTCCAGCTTCTTCCTTCCCTCCAGAAACTGGGGCACCGCCAGTTCCACTGATATGTTCTGGATTAGAAGCCAAATCGAGCTGTAATTGAGATATGAATTCGAGAATGGCAGCGACACGCCTCTTCATTTCGTTCATTGTGGTGCGTTGCGGGTTCATATATCGTGGTTTACTAGGTTTGCCGGATTCCCCACCGTTGAGGTAGACACCGTTTACCCCAAGGTGGACACCTGTAGGTGATTCACCGGTTCCGGTGTCTCCAGATTGGCCCCGACGGGGAGAGTGGATGCCACCACCACTGATGTCACCGTTTACTGAGTCGCGGTCTCGGGTATATTGATTTCGACCTAATCGACCACGGCGGGCTGGTGGGCGACCGGTTTTTCGCGTGGAAGATTTCGTATTGGAGGGCTCGTTTACGAGACTGGGAGCGTCAGGTGTGGATTGGCTGATAGTTGGAGGAATCGAGCTGGTCTTCGTTGGGGAAACTGTCTCGGTGGGTTCTTCGTCTAGTACTTGCAGAGTCAGCTCCGCCACTCCTCTACATTCGAAACTTCGGGTATAGTCACTTACCATCTTTCCGGCGTTCTGAGCGATTCTTCCGTCGGCTGACTACATCATTTATTTCCTTTTCTGGGTCTTTATCTGTTGTTTGAGCTTCCCTCTCTCGCTGGTTTCGAACCACTCCTCTGGTCTTTTTATTTCCATTGCCTTCCTGAGAAACGTTGGAGTTGGATTTGTTTTCATCATCTGACGGCGGGTGAGATGCAGAGTTGCTACGCTTTGAAAGAGAAGAGGAAGGAGATCCGGTGCGTTGTCGTTTTGCAGCGTGTTTATTCCTGTTGTGCAACTGTTGGGTTAGAAAAATGACGAGAGAAAACAGAATATATCCACTCCTCGAGGGTTAACATACGCTTCACTATCGCTTCTACTTCGCTTGCCTCTACGGCTTCCAAGGTCATCAGCGACTGATTTGGAATCTTCCTTGCTCTCCTCGATCGCTCTTCGTAACTGTTCTTCGTCGTAGGCGGCATCACGACTATTCATAGTTGAGCGTCGTTTAGTGCTGAGGAGGCCTGCATTGCCGCGGTTCTTTTTATTTTTCAGGTTTCTGGAGCTGCCGAGAGACGAGGATCTGGACGACGATGTGGATGACGAGCCAACCACTGGAAGGTAGCGGGAGGATTTTTGACTGCGTGATCGTAAGCGTGACGCCCACATGCTTCAATGTAGAGAATGATAATGGAAAATGAACGTATTGTATACAAGGAAATAAATAGATGCAACAAGTTTATGCATTAAAACTCCACGGTATCTTCAATCAAAACGACTCAGAGGGGAAGAAGAGTCCTGGCCGTTTTGAGCGGGCAACTGAGTGAAAGACCTCAACAAACCTCATCAATTGGAGAGGGGTGAATGATACACTCATCTAAAAAGTGAATAAAACTTTCAGGCTAGGGGTAAAAAGGGAAAAGAATCAGTTATCACCTCACTCGTTTGAAGCTGTAATGATTTTGTGTAG